GAGACATCAAGCTGTCAGCATTCAGATGACATAGGAAGTGAAGCACCAGAGATTTTGTTTGGCTTCTGTTTGACCAGCTTTGAGCCCTGTTTTTTTGGTTTGGTTTGGTTTGTTTTTTTTTTTTTTCCCCCCTGATTGCTGTCCAAAATGCGAGGCATGCTTTCTAATGAGAAATCAATAGAGTGCAGACTCGCTTTGTTAAGCTTGTGTCACGCATGCAAGATGACAAGAGACTCTGCAGAGCAGCTAAAATGTCCCCCTGGCTAATAGCTGCTTGGAAATGCTGATGTTTTTTTTTTTTTTTTTTTTTTTCCTGATGAGAAGAGGGAATTTTAGGTGGTGCATCAGCAACTTGGGAGTTAATTCCACAGGAGATGCTCAAGGCAGGCATCCTGCTTTTCTCTCTTGTCATTCTGGTATACGACAGAAATTGAAAAGCACATCTCAGTTCCACGAATGCTGGAGCTATACAGGTTTGGAATAACCTGTTTTCTTTGTAGGCTTTTTATAGGTATTTGGCTAGAGGCTGTATCCACTTTGTGTGCTAGAGCAAGAGAAAAACCCGATAGTGCAGTAGGAATCCAGAAACACTGGCAGGGAAGGATCCTTGCTTTAAGTATGAGACGATGGAGTATGTGTGTTGGGTGCTGGAAATGCTGAATCTATTCATAGACTTGCAAATGCCTGATGGAAGGAGACGAAGCGCTCCATAGCTGCAGGAACAGGCACGGCTTGCGTCCCTGGTGTAGTCTTGGAATTAAGGAGCCTACTCTTGAGGCTGACACAGTTTGGGCTTCAACCTCTGATCTCTGATCGCGCCACTGGTGCCATTCCCTATCCATCCCTCGGCTGCTTTGTTTACCGTGCGAGTTCTCGGAGTCTCCAAGTCGCAGTGCTTGGACAGTTTCTTGCACAATAGGCACCCGTGGTTGTTTTACTATACTAGCCTGTGGACACTCCCTTAATCCAAATAATAGCACACAAAGGCTGTTTACTCGGGATACGCACCGTTCCTTGGGGTATGCTTTCAAAAACCACACAGACTGCAAACGTAATAAAATATGTAACAATGACCTCGCACGATGAAGTAATTAGGTGATTTATAATAAATGACCGTTTTACATGACTTTAAAACGTGTGCCGGCTCTCACATGCCAGAGCAAAGAGCAGAAAAGAAAAGATAGCTTAGTAATTTCTGTCTCTTACCATAGGACTCTCTCTCTCAGATTCAAAGCCTGGGACTCGAGGTTCTGTCCTAGGAGAGGTGACCCATCTCCCATCTGGCTCGAAGTGGATGAACTGCATTCCAGGCTGTGTGAGGAGAGAGTGTCTTTCCAGTTGAACCTCCCTCAATAATCGACGTATCGGTTTGGACTGATAGAGATCACATACTGAATTTCATTACGGAATGATGCTTACCATGGTCCTTGCAGCATGCTGTCTACTTGGCAGCTGCTTTGCATCTTGGAGTTGGCTGCAGTTCAATGGTAGAAGAATTCTCAACTGTTTGTCATTGTAAAGCACTTTGGGGTGAATGGTGTTACATAAATGTAAGATTATGATTAGGCATTAATCTGTACTGGAATAATGAAGAATATTTAAATGTGCTTTTTCTAGTAAGTCTTGTTGAATATGAAGGGGAATCAATTTATCACTGGTTTGCCATGACTTTCTCCTACCCTTCCAGCCAGAATCATGCATCACGGATTATGTATTGCAGGGAAGAAAATGGTCAACCATCGACAGCAACGTTATTACACAGCTCCCAGTGATTTAAAAATCAGATCAAAGTTATTTATCCTCAGTGGCTTTTTGGAATTCTGCTTTCAAATGTCTTCATCCAAACAAGTCTGCGACCCTGAACCTCCTTGCCTGTGTTACACAACGTTAGAGCTGCTGGGAGCAGGCCGGCTCCGCGGTGTGGCCGCGTGTGCGTAGGGGAGAACTTTGTAGAGTTGGGATGATGGTTGCACTCGATGATCCCGAGGGTCTTTTCCAACCCGAATGATTCTGTGACCCACTGACCAGCGCCGCGGGGCAGACACGATGCCAAGGAGGGCGGTGGGGCTGGCTGCAGCCCTTTTGGCTCTGCTGTGAGTGCCAGGAGACCTTGGAAGTCTTGTGGAAGCACTGACTTTGAGTCTAAAATGCAAGACCCTTTGCCTGGTGTTGCCTAGTGCCTTCTGAATAATCCCAGCTCTGATTAGAGACACTAAAGTGCTTTAATTACTTGCCTTGTGTACCTTAATGAGCAGAAGAGAAAGGCCTTAGGACTCTGTTCTTGTTTGTCAGCTTTGTGCTCTGCCTTTGACTTCATTTGCTGCACAGCAAAGATGATGTAAAATTTCACTGTAAAATCCTACCAAAGATGACAACAGCTGCCTGGCTTTTTCTGTATCAGACAGATCACAGATCTATCGGGCAGTCGAATCCTGCTGATAGATTCATTCTGGAAGTGATCTGTCTTGATGTTCCGCACTATTATACCAAATGCCTTGCAACCATCACCTTCCAAATGGTTCACAACAGATTCCAGGGTTGTGCTACAACACATGTATCTTGTATGTCAAAGAGAAAACAAAAAACCCCATGAAGTAGAGACCTGAGTTGTTTTATTTCAAATGAAGCTTTGGGTGGGGTGAAGCACTTAAAGAGTGTTTCTAGAAAGATTGATCTGGTTTTGTGCCAGCTGTTTAGTGTTAGATGTATCTATCAACTGGGAAAGTATTTCCCTACACAGGATGATCCTTGGAAACTTAACCCAAAACATTAGGGCCCTGTGAATAAGGCACATGGCTTTACTGCACACGGCTTAGTTCTCTTTTTAATTTCAGATAGAAGTAGCCCTAGACAAGATTAGTTTGTTTGATAACATTCATGAGAGCTGGGGTAACAGATGATGTTTGTTTACTTCGTATACAATACCTACAACTTCTTTATTGTCGAAAAAAAAGGTCTGAACTTACTTAAAAGTTGGCTCATTTTTTATTTCAAGCTGATGCCTGGTTGAGATGGACTAGCTCAAACAGGCCTGTGTAATTAAAGTAGTTCATAGTAGAACTTCCAGTTCTATGTGTACAAACAGACAGGGAGCAAAAACAGAATTATTGACTTGGTGTGAAGAAATTATAGTTTTCTCTGTGGGAGAATAGCTCTATGGTCAGCTCTGCTGACACAGAGTTGACTCAGAATTGTGAAGGTTATAAATGGCAAATATGGAACTTGCTACAAAGCAGAACTATATTATGGGAGTTTTATTTGAACTTTTTGTGCTACTTATAAAAAAAAAATCCCCCAACAATCAGATGTATTTTTAGCTCATGAATTCTGTTGGAAAAACTGTCTGAGATGTCACCTTGCCAGCTTAATATTGTAGTCACAACACGATCAAATTCATGCAGCACAGAAAACTGGCAAAAAATGGGATGTTGTGTTATAGAAGAGTTAACTGACTGAACACCTCCAAGACTGAGAAACTGTCAGGCTTGTCAACCTAAAAAGGAGGTGATTTTTTTTGGTGGTGGGGGTCTCTAAAACGTAACCATAGTAGTAAGAACCTAATTATTCAACTAGTTTAATACAAGCAGAAGATGCTATTTCATTATTTTCATCATCTGATATAATTACACATCCATATTTATTACAGCTCGTAAGACTATGTAGTCCAAAACTTCTATTTAATGAGCAGACATGGCACAGGAAGTCCAAACAAAGACACACATACATATATATACCAATATACATTTAAACAATGCAGAAGAGGTAGCACCATTAATTAAGAAATATATAACATGCAGTAAAAATACTAAGACAATTCAGATCTGCCTTCATTGCACCTCTTCCAGTATCACAGGAGGCTATAGAATGATTTATTCAGCATCAATCCACATTTTTTAATGTCCTCTGTTCTCTTATATGATCGTACCTTGAATTTTCTAAAGGTGATCCTTCAGGTGACTAGCTGAAGGGGACAGTATTTAGTTCATAAGTTAAATACTATGGCTGCAATGACTCGGATAATGAGCTTTGAATCCATTACTTCTCACAGGAACCAGATTGTCTGTATGCTTCAGGATACAAGGTTAAACATAAACACTAAATATTTAACCTGATCTCTTTTCTTTCTCTAAAAAGACCCAATCGGATGACTGAGTTCTGTTTTGGAAGGATCCCTATCCTACAAAGGGAAAAAAAAAAAACCCTACATAAAACAGGATGGATTTTATTGATGACCTTAAGAAAAACTCCAGTGTAGTCTTGAAGTCCTATTGGACATTAAGTAACTGCAGTATTTAGGTTTTATCAGAGGAAAGACATGAACTTGATCCGCACAGAAAGATGATCCTAAAAGCACTGCAAGATGAAGGTGGGCAGGCTCTGTAAGACAGCTCCCCAGTCCACATTCAGGAGCATCCTCACATGCCTCAGATGCCCAGAGAACAAGCTGCTAAAAGCAGAGCCAGATCATAGAGCCAAAGCTCCAATACTTTAAGGCACTTATTCAGCAACTCTATACTCAAAATAGAAGCTCTGGGCAATGGTCCGTGTGACCACAGAACTTTGTTAGCCAGGCCAACGATTTCTTAAGATTTTTAAGCTGTACTTACAGTAACTGAAAGGCTTTGCTCTGTGAATACCGTTTTAGGAAAGAAGAAAAAAAATACAGTTAAGAAGGATTATCAACTGTGGAGACTTAAATGTAAGAACCAAAGCAGACCTCGACCTCAGTAAATGCACCTTCCATCTCCATTTCCAGATCTAACCGAGGAGTGTCTAGTCAGAAGATACACACTAGGCAGATTCAAGAGTCTAAGGAAGGCTACAGTGAAAGAGGAAAATGATACCTTCCTTTTTCAGGATTGTTTTCCACATTTCTTGGCTTCCTGTATTGTTTAAGCTCTGATGGGCCAGCAGGATAAATAAACAGAAAAAAAAAATTCCAAACCAAACAGCAATGCAACAAATCTATGGAAGATACTGTGGTATACTGTAGATAACATTTATCTGATATACTCCTCCTCAGAGATGCAGGATGTATCTTCATCTGTGCTTTCCTCCAAATCTGGCAAGTTGCCCCAGAGCAATACATTCACACCTGGTGGGAAGGAGGTAAGAAAACAAAGGAGAAAAGAAAAAAAAAAAAAAGTATTTTTGGATCGGGGCCTTATTTTTAAGTTGCACAACTGTCTGTTTTCAGAGAAAATAACATCATTGCAAAACCTGGCAAGTCACATTCATGATAAATATATCTAGGCTATCTCCTATTTTTCTATTTTTCTTTCAAAGTGATCTTGGAAGTGCAGTTTTTACGGCATAGTTCAAAGAATAAGTCCCTACCCACAGCTATATTTATATAGCTAATTAATGTAGCTATTGGTAATCTCCTCATGGCTGATTGATTTTTAAATGCATTGATCTAGAACACAGGTGACACTGAAAGGTTTGGACAGTAAGTAACTCCCATCTGCAAGGAGAAACGATTTGTCAGAACGCTGCGCTTTCCTGAGGACTGAAGGCAAATTCTGCTAGACACTTGGCATCCAAACAGCACCTAGCTAAAGAAACCAGCTAACGTGAGCTGCAACTTCAGCTTGAGCTAATGAGGACTCAGTTATATGGGGTCAGAGTGACAACATGACTCACCCAAAAAGAGTGTCCATTGGACAGCTGCCTAATAGCACTGTAAAGCTATACATACCACTATAAATAGCAGCTGGTGGCTGTGTTTAGTCCTAATATTGCTTCAGAAAATCCTGACTTCTATCCACAAAAGGGGTAGGTTAAGTTTTCTAATGAAGATAAATTCCCACTTAAAAATTTTAATTTACAAAGTAGCTACAGCTACCTCCCCCAAAGTAGTTTGCTGGATGAGCAGTACAGAAACGCTTGCCTTATGCTTCCATATGTCACACTCCCTCCATATGCTTTAACTATACTGAGATGCCTCATTAGAAGGAGGACTTAGAATTCAAGATTTTAAGGACGAGAAGGAAACATGTGCTCCTTACCAGAAGGGTCTAGTCTGTTGATGCCAAAGACTGCTTGGCTATGAAACATCCAGAAGTGGCCGTTATTACAGGACAGCAGGCAAGGTTTGCAGGGAGAAATCACATGATAACCGACAATGTTACCACTAGAAAGACAAGTGACATCATGAGCACTGCAAATGCCTGATGGAAAGATAGATGTCGTCGGCTTTTCCAGTTTGAACTGGTGTTAAAATAGCCACGGTACCAGACTGTTAATAATGCTCCTATTTTGATAAAAGTTAAGGGAACATAGTTAAACAAGCATCTTAAATATTTGGCAAACATCTGTCAGGAGTTACAGAATATCTAAGTTTTAGATCTTTGGCACAGAGAACCATTTAGTAACCTAAATTGTGTAATCCAGATTAGTTTACATACCAACAAATGGTGGTGTATCTATTTTTTTATTTATTTATTTTTGGAAGGCCAGTGATTCCATTGGAATCAATGTAGAAGTTCATCATGCACACAAAATTCATCTGTACAGAAGCACCGTGCATGGGAGAGTGTCAGTAGTAGGATTAACAAGACTGAGAATATTGAAGCCTTATCTACTCTCCTAGGTTGAAACCTAGAACAACAATTTTACTACTTTCTCAGTCATGAGCTCTGATATTTCTGTTTCTCCACTTCTGTCTAAAAACCAAAATACTGTGCTCCTATCACAACCCCCCACCCTTTGTCTGAACAAGGTAAAAGTCTTGATTATGGAGCCGAAAGGATCGTCTTAAATAACTGTGAGCTATTTGAGACTTGTTTTCACTCATAAATATCAGGAATTAATAAAGAGGATAACAGAACTCCAAGAACTTTAGTGACAGCGTGTTCCATCTGCTAGCAACAACTAGATCTGCCAGGAGGATGTTCTATTAATTAGAATATGAGTAAGTACTTCTTACTGCGGCCTTATTCACACAATTATCTCAGTGTAGAAGCAGACATTTAATCAGGCAGGTGGCATGCAAGCTTTCCCATATACTCAGACTACTGACAAGGTTGTCACATTTTCACTTGGGACTTGCACAGAAATAGACTGGCAGCCATGCCCAGAAGTAGTGGGCTGAGTTTCTATCAAGCAGCATTAAATCTGAAACAGAGTGTGCAATCTGTTCATTCATCCCTTAACTCTTGCACTGCAGCAGGCTACAGCGAGAAGGTGAAACGGTATCGTGGCGTGCCCGAGGAGGTGTTAGTGTCATAGAATGGCATTCTTACCACTTCAAACATGCGATGTTCTTCAGTTTGCATTTGCAGATTTCAGTAAAATAGCAGCTTCCGATGAAATCAACGGTACTAAACGGAAAGAAAGTAAAAACACAGAAGTTTAATGTGGCTGTAACGTTTTGATCTGAAGTTCAAACAGTGTTGTTACCATTACAGCGCTGTGTGGTTGTTTTAAAGCTCCTCAAGACCACGCAAATCCATTTTCCTATCGGCTACCAGCCATACTCATATGGAAACCAAGAGAGCCCCGTGTGCTGTTACACGAATGCATCGCAAGTCCTCTCAAATTAGATCAGAACGCGGCTGCTTCTGGTAGCACTTCCTAACGCTTGCTGCTGGCTTCGTGGCACTATCAGTCAGAAATCTGATTAGAGACGTTGCCCTAGTTCCTGGCAAATCTCAGCTGAGACTGCAGAACAATAGCTTAAAGGCTAGGGCATTTAAAACCAAACCTTTGATTCCTTATCTCCTTTTTAACCCATACTTTCTTATTACCATGTTATTTTGCAATCTGACTTCTTTAGTATTTAAATATTCTTGTGGGAAAGCAAAAGGCAACTGACTCGGAGGAGAGTCAGTTCTGGAACCGGCGCAAGATCAGGTTTGTTCTGTTTACGGATATTTATTTCAAATTCTAATCTTTGCTCGAGGAAGGAGCTGGAGGAATTCCCCATGGCTTCCTGAGCCTACGTCTTCCCCACGAATAGATTAAATCAGGCTTTTGATTTGCTCGATAAGGGCCAGCCTTGCTCTCACCGTCCCGCCGTGGCCTCCCCGGGGCTGAAGGAGAACCAGGTGGAACTGGAAACGGAGGAAGGGTGTTGCTGGGGGGCCGCTTTCCCGGTGACAGCGGGGTTCAGAGCGATCCCCGGGGGGCCGGTGCGGCCTTGTCAGCCCCGCCTGGCGGATCCGTGCGGGGGAGGCCACAGCCCCAAGGCTGACGGGCCTGCAGGGCCCCGCCGCCCGCTCCTCCTCCTCCCCGAGGCGCGGCGCTTACCCCGAGGGCGGGATGTCGGTGGAGTAGAGGTCGGTGTCGGTGTCCGCCAGCAGCACGGCCTTCATCCCCCGCGAGCTCAGCACCTGCCGGCAGAAGCGGCAGCACAGCACGGCCACGCACCGGTCCTCGAAGGTGCAGCTGCTGCCCGACATGGCGGG